ACTTAATGGAATCAGAAAAGCAAAGATTTCTTACTGGGAGTAAGAGATTATCTTAAAACAAATAGCAATTTTTATGAATGATCCTCAGAAAAATACTATTGATTAGCATAAATGTGCCCATTGTAGATTAACTCTTCAGAGCTGTCTGTCTTCAAGGATTTGCAGGCATTGACCAATCAATTTCTCTTTGTAACATTACTGGGAAATAACCAAGTTAAAGAGAAGGCAGTGTGTTTATGATTATACTTTTGTGCTATTAAAACAGAATTAGCAGAGTTCATAATAATGAGTCCAGTCATGGATAGCAATAGGCATCTTTAAAAAATATATAAAAGGAGGGAGATAAGGTGTGGACACACTTAGAAATCTAGATGTGTGTCTCTGAACATGACTGATAGCCTGTTGCTACAAGAAACTTCCACATGTTTTCCAAAACCATCCTGTGTTTTCAAAACTGTAGTCACATATGGCTTTAATTCCCATAAATTTGTACCAAAACACCTGGGCTCTATATACTTACCAACTCTCTCACGCATGTTTACTAAATTTATCTTCCACCATATGACAAAGTAATGCTTCTTTTGCTTGTCTCAGAATTACCATTCCCCCTCCTTTTCAGCAGTCCACAGAGTCCAGGAGGGTGCTTAGACACACACTTGCTTGAATGATGTCTCTCATGATTTGTAAACTTCACTTCAGAGCACTGAGTGTTAAATTCTTATTTATTTATTTTTTGGTGCTGAAGACTGAATTAAGGGCCTCATGCTTGCTGCACTTTTGACCTTTTATTTTGTATTTTGCTCAAACTGTTAATTCACTGGTTCTCCACTTGCTCACCTTCCTGAGAGTTGCTTTCTTTAACATTAAACATTCTAAGGGGTGAGATACAACATAGTAAACTGTTCATGATAGCATAGCATCTTGTTAGTATGTTTTTTGTTTGTTTACACTTGCTTTTTGTGACAGTGTCCAGGGCTCTGCTAACCTGTTTTTGTCATTGTTGCTGCAGAGGAGTTCTTCATTTCCTAGACAGTTATTATAGCAAAACCGATTTGAAAATGACCTCAAACTACTATAATTTCTCTCACCTAACAAAAATAGCTTTTCTTCCTGCATTCCTTCTCTCAGTTGGTGGCAGTGAAGCTCACCCTTTGCCCATCTAGCAATCTGTGCTTTGTTCTAGATTCTCCTCATGGACTCAATCACAAAGTGTTTCCGGTTTTGCTTTCTATATTTTGACCCTTCTCTTCCACTCCCTCCCCCACCTAATGACCTTCTATGGAAAATTTTCCATGCTTTCTTCAAAAGTCCATTGCAGTGCCTCTGCTGGGGGTAAAGCATCTCCTTTGCATGCCTCCTCTGCCCTAGAAGGTTGTATCATTTATCCCTGGTGATGGTTTTCCCACTACTGCGGTAGCTGCGTGGAATTTACTCCCTGTCCTACCCAAAGTGGCTGATTTAGTGCCTCATGCGTGCAAGTTGATGTATCAATGATTGTTGACTGGCTGAACAAATACAAGTGTCCTTCACCTCCTTCTCACATCTGTTTGGTATACCATCCAGAGACAAAGTAAAAATCTAGCTATTCAAGGGAAATTATATTGAATATATAAGCATTTCATTTCAAAGTGCTTTGTAAAATTGTAGAGCTTATTTTTCTTTATGTTTTAGTATGTTTGTGTGTATGTTTAAGGTAGGATAATAATGATTTTTCCAAGATTTGCCTTTAAATGTGATTCACCACTTTGTTTTAATGTCTCACTAATTGAAAGTACTGCCTTTATCATCACTCAAATCTAGTTCAAATTCTAGTTTTTCACTTAGATTATTCTTAGTCATTGGTTCTGAGTAATTTTCACTTGTAGCTATGAGCTTTTTACATCTGTGTGTGTGTGTGTGTGTGTGTGTATATGTGTGCTCACGTAGTTGTAGGAAGATATAATAACATGAACTAAGAAGGCAAGGGAGAACTCTGAAGATGTCACAGTTAGCCATCCAGCCAGGATTGATGCTTCCACCATTCTGAAATAGTGAGAGGCAAATTCCAACATCCCATCAACTGTCTTGCTCAAATTCTGCTTTTGCTTTCTCTTCAACATGCACAAAGGACACCAAGGTAGGAGGGCAATTGATCAACCCTCAATCAACACTGGATGGGAGTGAGGGGGTAAATTCCCAGCTTTCGGTCCTCTAATGTAATGATTCTGAGCAGTGTTTTCTCTTCTCTTTCTCGGAGGGTCTCCACAGGGACTGAATCCAATTGGTTAGAATGATAACACATCCAACATGGTGCCTATTACTAACTTTTCCTCTTTGTCTCACTTTTTCCATATCCTTTAACAAATGCCTTTAGGGTTAACCTTCACATAAAGTGTCTTATCTGTTGGTTGGTTTGGGGGATAACTCAGGCTAAACCAAGGTTTGAAAAATATAGAAACCATGGCTGACTAAGATTGAGATACTGCTGATCCAGTCCTAAGGGCTGTCACTTATAAAAACAAGAGCCAACATTAAGAGTGTCAGGTTCCTTGAGCTAAAAGATGCTCTTTATGAGTGGTTAAAACACGGAGCAGAAGCAGAAAGTTTTGAAGTAGCAGGGGCTAGTTAGTGTTTGACCTTACAACTCCTTTTTATTTTTATTATGTTGCCATTATTTCTAGGGACAATGGCGTTCTAGACTGAATGACTGAAATGAGGAGATAATATACTAGATACTGTGGTTTAAGGGAAACTAGAGCCAGGGCATTTATGAGGACGTTATTGCAAAACCAGTGATGCACAGTGGAGGGAAAAGTATCAATAGTGACCGACAAAAATACATACATTTCATAGCTATTTAGCAGATAGCATCTTCCTAAATGGCTGCTACTATTTTGTATCCGGGTATAGAGGGTCATGTTGGTAAGGTAAATGAGCCCTTCAAACAGGAAGGCATTTCCATCTTGATGTTGCTCTTCAGAAGGACATATTTGTAAATTTCCTTTGAAAGCCCATTTGATTCTCATTAAAAGTCTTTTAGTTATGTGTGCATTTATATATTTTCATCTAATTCAATCATATTTAAATGTCACAGTGGGTATGAGAACTCATATCATATCCTTATACTTCATGTTTGATGATAATTGACAGAGTTTTTTAGCAGTACTTGTTTAAATCAAACTGTTTCTGGAAGTGAGAATGTTTTATGGTGTAAATTTAGCCAGTTTATGGATAGGCATGGAAACTATTAGAATGATGGAACACTCACTACAGCAAGTGCCTTTATGAAATTCCTTTGCCTTCTTCTTCGAGATAAAGTTGTTTTGGCTTTGCAGCCTTCATCTTGACGAGTGACCACTCGTCAAGTAGCACAGTGAAAATGGTTTTGTTGTTCCTCTTCAAGAGCACAAAATAAAAATGATGAGAAACCTTTTATGAAGATGTGCCATCTGGTAACCTGCGCAACATAGTTGAAGATAACAATATGTAATATAACTACCACTGTTAATTCCTATCATTTTGTTTTGAAACCCTCTATCATTTTTAGTGTTCTTGCTTTATTTTGTTTATGTCTATGATGCTGGTATGTTGTTATTCCTTTTTTTTTTTACTGCTCTGTTTATACGAAAAAAAGATGTAGCTTTCATTAAAAAGGAAAAAACCCTCATTGAAAGTCACTGTGAAATTTGAATAATTAATTTCATGCCAAATAAATCACTAGAAATTTCTGATGAGTACAAAAAATCAATCATTTGCAAAATTGCAAAGAGCTAATTTCTGATAAATATACTTCTGTATTTTCTGTTACTTTTGTATATTGGAAAAGATATAATATAGAAATTTCAGAATTTTAACATAATAGCCCTTTGCTGTAGGTAGCTTTTAATTGTTCCTGGGCTCTAAACCAGCTAATTAATTTTCCTTTGGAATCTTTTATTTAATTTAATGATATTTGTTATAATTTAATATTCCTATTTCTTGTCTAGTAATAATATATCAATTTCATATTTTAAACATATTCAGTAGCTGGAATTTTTTCTTTCTCTTTTTAAAATTTTTGTATGTGTTATTTTGAAGTATGAAAATACACATATGTGCACATGTGTGTTTTCTTTTTTACATATTATGAGCCAAAACCTAAGACCTCCTTGCAGAAAAGGGCACAACTTAAGAACTTTTTATACCTGTCCTATAGTACGATGTAAAGGTAGCTCTATTAGATAGTAGTACTTATCTTACAGCTCTGTGGTTTTAAAAATGGACATACTATGCTTAATCTGAAAAGCTTACTGTATCAAAAAAAATAGTTCTAGATAGGTAGGTACAAATATATTCTTCCATGAAATTAAGTTTCATTATGAAATATATAAGAAAAAATTGAATATGTAATAATGTAAAATAAAACCTTTTGATATTCATTCACTAAGTCTTGATATGTAACATGCTCTACTATTTTGGAGGAACCAGTCAAACTACAAAGTGGACCAATGCAAATGACTCATCCGATTGGCAGGACAAACAAAACACAGTAACAATGGCAGAGAGAATAACTAGCTTTTATGCTCATTACTGTGGCACGTGTTATGATCCCAGCCACTTGGAAGATGACGGAGGATCACAAGTTTAAAGCCAGCCTAGGAAAGCTAATGAGACCTGACTCAAAAGTAAAACAAAAATGGCTGGGGATATAGTTCAGTGACCCCAGGGTTCAATCCCTGGTACCGAAATAAAACAAATAACAACAACAGCAACATCAACAAACTTTTCAGGTAGTCTTTGTAAGTTATGAATAGATGGATCAATAGACTGCAACAAGCTAAACTTGCTCTTTTCATAAACTTTAAACATTTAATTATCAGGAAGAATATTCTTTAGTACCATCAATGATCCAGTTTATAAACGTCAACTATAGTAATAATAGGATAAGCTAGAAACATCTTTTTTTAAAGTGTAAGACTCTTCATTTTATATTTATTATTTTACACTTTATTGATTTTCATCTCTGGTGTTGTTCTTTGCAGAGAGTGAATCTGTCCTTCGATTTTCCATTTTATGGCCATTTCCTTCGTGAAATCACTGTGGCTACTGGGGGTAAGTGGTTTTCTACCCGTTCACCTTGAATAATCTACAGTTTCACTGCAGTTATTATTTTAAATTTACCCAATATTTCAAGAGGATTTTATTGTGAAAATCATTGTCTCCTAGTACAAAGTCATGAGTACAAATGAAGTGTAAGAAAGAGAAGAGGTACTGGAAAAATTTTTCAGTAGGAAAAAACATATAGGGATTATAATTTCATTTTAGATTCATCTCTGCTTTCTTGCTAAGATTAGCAATATCCTAGCAAAGCAGTTATCAGTGCATCCCAGAGGTTAGACACACATTAATCCAGGAGTGCTACTAATAAGAGATGATCAAAATGCCGGAGAATGGCCCATATGTCTTAGATACCAAGACCAGAAAGTGTAGTGAAGAGAAGCAGTGCAACAATAGAGAAGGAAACAAGTAAAAAGAAACACAGAGGTATAATGAAAAGGTGTGAGTGTCTATGACAGAAGCACGGTTGACTCGGGTCTTTTTCCTTCCTTGAGTCTCATTATGGGTCTTCTGGATGGAATGGAAGCCATGTTGATCATTTTTCTCTATGCCAAGATTTAGAAAATATGTAAGATTCAGGGAAAAAAATCTGTAGTCGTAAATTTCAACAAAGTTGGCTGCTCACCTACTTTGAACTAAGGTAAATTAAACTACTCATTCTTTAGGAATGTGTAAACTTACAGAGGATTAGACCAAGTAAAGCAGAAATGAAAATCACTTAAAAAATACAAAGGGTGAAGTGTGAATTTGCAGAATAATAAAGCTCAAACCTCCATGAAAAGCATTTAAGGTTTCTTGGAGATATTATTGGTGTCACAGTTTCCATGGTTTACAGAGACTTCTGGGAGGAGCATCTAAAGATGCACAGAAGAGGAAGTGGGTAGAATATTTTTGAATAGTGGATAATTGACTTAAAGTCAGGGGTGTATTTACCAAAAAAATGGCATATTCAGATTATAAGATTAGACAAGTAGTTTCAGTCAGTTTTACAAAACACCTTAAGAGTGAGCTTCACATTGAGTCATTAGTCCTGAAGTAGGTAAATAATAAACTTTAGCAGGCTGAATCTAGATATTTGTGTAATGTCTTGAATTGTAGGAATGTTGGGACTTGGCACACTTGGAAGAACACTGCAGGGGTTCCTATGAGAGGCTTTGGTGATTCTTTTGCTGTTTACACCAGTTAGAATCAAGCAAAGAAGCTGGTTTTATTGAAAGATAAAAACCACTTCTGAAATTACTAAATTTTGTGCAAAAAACACTATATATGAACAAAATATAGTGGACTCTCTTTTAAGTTCACTGTGTGTGTACTAGTAGAGTGCTAGGTATTTAATCAACATTCTTGTGAGACTACATGAAAAGTAGGAAGGTAGAACTGAAAGGCGACCCCAATAAACCATGAATCATCAAAATCGCTCCTGTGTTCAAAGTATGATATAAATATGGTGATGATATAATGTGGATGTTAGGTGCGTTTTCTCACATTTAAGTTGTGTGATCTAATGAATTTGAAAATGTGTGTTCTTAACATATGTTTAAAATCTGCACACAAGTGGTAAACATATGGGTAGCTTTTGCATTTCCAATTTTGCAAATTGCTTTAACTTTAATCCCCATGTCAGTGACTCAACTGATATGAATTAGGATTCTACATAGTAGAGTCGGTGGTAGTGCACTTAGGCAGATGGCTGTATCATCTTTACTGCTTCAAAGTACTATTTTCCTCTGAAAGAGCCTCAAAAGTAAAACGTCTGGTGTATTGAATGATCCTTCTTCTTGGAAATAAACACTAAAGCAAAGATACTCTTTTATTTCCATTTTTTTTTCTAATAAAATATACTAGTGTGGAACTTGCTTGTATTAAGTCTCTATACCTTATTTAAAGAGGCATATACATGATAATTTAGTCACTGGACTGAATTATTTTCAAAATGCAACCAGACCCTTTTGTAAAAGTTTGAATAGGTTGCTTTCTCCTTACTCATTCATTCAATCAATATTGATTGAGTCCCTAGCAAAGGATGTACACAAGAAGCTTAAAAATTATACAGGAAACTTTCAAAAAGGGAATAGGTGAAGGCATGCTTAGTATACAAAAGCTTAGCATCTAAGAAGAGGAAGGGGCATGAGATAAATAAAACAATTAAGATAAGGCTGGCTATAAGAGCTAAAGGGGCAGGAGGTGACTCATAAAGAATATTCTTGTTTGGACAGTCAAGAAATAGCCAGTAGGTGTGTGGAATAGCCAATACTTGCCATTGACCTGAAAGGAGATAGAATTTTAGTTGGCAAAGAAACTATTTGATAAGAGCTGGGTGGGGAAAGGGGTCTCAAACAAGAGGATGTTGAGCTAAATGACAGTGTTGAGGGCCATCAAGTTAATCAGTTTATCTCAAATGGAAGGTGAGAATAAGAGTCCAGTAAAAAATGGCATGAAGAATGTAGGATAAGTTAAACATCGGGAATTTGGAGATATCCTGCAGGTGCTGGGTTTCTTACAGTAGATCCAGCCTGATCTGATAGTGAACGACAAGGTGGGATGAGGTAAAGGTAGAAAAAATAGATAGAATTTTTCAGCGCTGCTTCTTAGATTATGAGGGCCTGAATGAACTAGGATGGGCACAGAGGAAAAGGGGAGAAGGAACCAGTGCAAGACTCCTAATCTGAGTTGTTTAATCATTGTGGTTGGAAAGGTTTACAGCTGCAAGGATCTGCTAAGATTTGTTTTTTGAAAACCTAAGAGCTACGAGGACCTCTGAACCACAGATTTGGTGGATCTCTTCTGTGGCTGACCTATAAACAGACAGAACTATCTGACAAAGACTCATCCACCTTGCAAATCTTAAACCGTGGAAGGTTTGGAAGAAAAATAGAAACTTCAGATTAAATAAAGTCAGATGAAATAAAGTTGATTGAAGATCATTCTAAATAGGTAGGGGCTGAGAGTTTTAAATAGAAATGTATTCTTTTCCATTGTATTGACTGTCAATTTTCTTCGACTGTGCTTTCACATATTTCTCTTGAAGGCTTTTCTGCACTGGGTGGAGGGAAAATAACAAAGCGAAATGTTTTCATAGTGAAAACAAGCTGTGCAAATAAATAAAGTGGATACTTTAAACCACAGCCCTCTTCATTTTAGTTCACTGCTTTGCCAGTTCCCATGCCTTCTTCAGATCTATCTTTCTCTCTCCTCCACCCCACACAGTGACGCAAATTTAGTTAAAAATGAAATAAACATCAGGATAATACCCTGTGTTATTGTTAGGATCACAGTTCCATATCAAAATATAGCTTAACAACACAGAAATATATGCATGACTCCCTGTGCTCCATCTTTATATTTTATATATATATTTTATTATAATCTTTAATTTCTACATAAAAATGTAAATTAAAACTAGACATCAGGCTATTTATTTATAAACTACAGAAATAAAACATTTGCCTGTTAAGAATTTTAATATTCAAACGCTTCAATCATCCGTACAAATAATGCACAAAATGAATTTGAAATACCATCTAATTTTCTGGTTCACCGATAGAAGATTCTGAAAACATCTACTTATCTTTCCATTTAAAAAATACTTCAGAATACACATACATTGAACATTGAAAAGTTAGTCCTCTGGGCATTTCATAAAAAATATTTCCATTAATAGTTTTCTCTAAGATGTGTTGTTTGCTTATGTTCTGCTTACTTGCTTTTTCTATGAGTATCTTAATTGGTTCTTTTTTATTATTAGGCTTCTAAAGTCATCTTTTAAATACTTCAAACTGTATAATAATATTTTTATGTAAATCTGTCAGGCATACACCTGACTTTGATGGATTCAGGGTGGGGAGGTAAGTTAACTGCTGCTTTATATAATAGGAAAGAGAAGAAATTGTAGTAATTCAGATAATCCTCACCCCACAATTTAAATATGTGGACAGATGGTGATTTGTAATTAAAATACGTGTGGAATTGCAAGCAGTTGGACATGAGATTAGAAATCAAAGGTGAAATGAATTAAAAAGCCAATGTGGAATATATAATACCTATATTACCTACTTTACTATAGGATGGATTTAGACTCTTTTGCTTTCTATGCAAATTTCTAGTTGCAAATTTCATAAGAGAAATGTTGAAAATTTAAGATCTTTCTTTCATTTGCCACATGGTAATTAATAAAATATAAAATTTTTCATTAAGTAATGATTTTTAACATCAATGAATTCAATAATATTAAAACAGACAAAAGTAAAAAATTTACTTTCTTCCCCTGCCTCCTAGCTTTCCAGTTTCTTTCCCAAGAAAAAAAAAACCCTTACTCTTTTTGTATATCAAATTCAAATTTAGAGTAATATTCTATATCTTATCAGTAATCACTTGCTTTCCCCTTTAAGTCTCCAGTAACAGAGATTTTTTAAAAAAATAGATAATGTATATTATCTTGGTTGAGTTTTCAGGAAGTATATTAACAAATTTTCCATCTTTTTTTATTCTGGCTTTCAAATAGTAATATTTTAATTACAGGTCCAAATAATATTTTATGCTTGTTAGAGGACTTGATTAATAACAGAAATAAAAGTTTTTTTGGGAGAGGAAGAGAGTGAGTTTTCACTCATGGTGATTGATTTATAAACACCAACCTCATCTTCTTTCAAGTGTGTAATCATAAAACAGAACTTGATGCATCCATTAACTTCTAAATCTAGTGCAAAAGTGAATAGACTTCCTTTGCCTTTTAAAATTATTAACGGCTAGCAGAGATTGTGAGTGTCTGGAGATCTGCGATGAAAGGAAAATGCTGAGGAGATAGATGCTGGACAAAAAGTAAATCCATTCCAATTTGGCTCACCAATTTAAAGTAACAAGCTCAGGTCTCAAGGATCTCTAGACAGAAAGATAAATTGTGTGTTGTCTGATCCGCTGTATCTAAATGATGCTCTGAGCTGTACCTCCGAACACCGGAGAGCTCATCGTAGCAGTCCCCTGTGATAATTTATTCT